GGGTTTAGAGCTGTTGTGCATAGGGTCGCTATGAGTCGGAAACGACTCGATGGCACATAACAACAACAACATGTCGCAGCTAAAGCCACCCCCTGACCACCAGGGGAACAGATATCACTTTGGGGAAGGCATTGTATCCTATGGGACAAACCTATCAGTCCTTTCAGACTGATGGTACAGGAGTAGCAGGTGTCTTGTCTGTCGAGCAAACTGAGACTTAGTGAAACACCATAACAGTGGTAAGGTGCTGAGGAGATGCTGTCATTTGGATCCAGAGTCTTGGCGGCCATGTTGCCCTCTGTCCCTTCTACTGCAGAAGGTGAGATTGTTGACAGGACTCTGTGTCTTTGCCTCCCTAGCCTCTGGTCAGCCTGTAGCCATGTCAATGTCTTCTTTTCCTCCTGCAGTCTAACCTGGGCTTCATGGCCCGGGTGCTAAGCACCTTACACACACTCATCTATGGCTGGAACTGTGCTTTCAAGGAGAGCCACTGCAAGTTCTACCTGCCTCCCATCTTCATGCTCACACTGCTGGTGCCTGTGTGGTCTTCCTGGCCAGAGGCCTGCTACTCCTGCCCTGCTTCAGCTGCAGACTCATCAGGATCCGGAGGGGCTAGAAGAAGCCAGGTGCAACCGAGCTCTTTCTACCTGCTGGCCCCACATTTGAGCAGAAGAGAAGCCATGTGTGAGGCGCCTGCATGGTGACCCAGTGCAGGTGGATGGCCACTCTAAACTGCACAGTGTGACGGACTGTGTGCAGCTGGTGGTCTGAGGACTGCATGTCCAGAAAACTATTTTATTCTATTAAGAATAATACACACATGTGTACAAATTGATATGCATATGTACCTCATATGTACAAAACAAGATTTGTAGTTATAATTATTTAGCTAAAAGGTTTCAGTCGCTGAGATTTCAACTAGTAGCTTTAAAAGTAAGGGCCAAGTGTTACTTAGGAGAATAGCAAGTTGCACTATTATAGCATTTGCAGATAAACTTTTTCACAAGAGAGAATGAACAGCTTGTCCCTTTGGGTGTCCACTTATGCTGCCCCTCAAGACTCTGGCAGAGCTGGGCTCTGAGAAGGCATACAAGAAAACAGCTCTGAGTACACCCACCTGGACATGCAGAACTGGGGAGGGGCCCAAATTGCACCCAAGCCCAGGCTGTGGACAGTCCCAGGCCAGGTTTGCCTGCTGCCAACAAGGGAGCAGGGAGTGCAAGCAGGGGGGATTGGAGCTGCTCTTCCTCATCATTCCTGGGCTGGGAGGATCCCTCCTGGAGTATAAACAGTTGCCACATCAGCTGCAAATTGGCCCTCTTGTGGAAGTGTGAAGTCGCCTTGGCTGGAACTGCTAATGAATCCATCTTGAGAACAAGTGTCATTTCTTTCCCTCCTCTAAGTTGGTGAGGACCTTTCTTTAAACCAGTGTGGCTTCTCCCTTTTCAGTCATTAGTTTAAATTTCTCCCAAGCAGGCCCAGCCCAGACTCCCCCTAGAAAGTGGCCGAGTAGGGCAAGCAGGGAGGAACTGGAGCGTGTGGGGAAGGAGTGTTGATGGACTGTCTTCCATAAACCGGGTCACACCCAGCTCCCTCTGCTCTAAAGCTTGAGAGCCCAGACCACAGGCAGGACACTGGACATTCACCCTTGAGCCATATACCAACCCTCCCTGATTCAGATGGAAACTTTTTGTTCTTCTGAGAAGCAGCTGTGCTCTTCCAGCAGAAACCAGGCAATGTGCTTTCTGCACACCCCTATCCACTTATGTGTGCACACCATAACATCTTCAACACAGAGGGGAGTGAAATCTTGTACTCTGAACTATTGATTCTGGGGCCAGGAAGGGGCTATTGAAGCCTGAGTGGTTGGGCTCTGAGATGAGATGCTTCTGAGAGGTTTGTGGAGCACATTAGGGTTCTTTAGTGAAAAAAGAGAAAAACCATCAAGTGCAAGAACACCTCATTAGACCGACGGCAGGCGGGGAAACAGACTATTCTCCACGGATACCTTCCAAGGCTGTGTGGAAAAGTCTCTCTCATAAATTGGTCTGGATGGTGCCTCAGCAGTGGCCCACAGAAGGTCACCAAAAGGGGGAACAGGTGAAACCAAGATTGGAGTATTTGTGTGAAGTATTGAAATGAGATCCTGCTGATGGCTGTGTACCCAACAGGCTCTCCACGCCAGTCAGAAGTGGCCCTTTCCTTTTCCAAGTCCTCCAGCCTGGAGTCATTGCTCATCTTTCTAAAATGGATTCTGAATCCATAGTGCCTTCCTCCGGGCAGAGTAACCCTGTCCACACGGTTACGGCTGTGGCCTTTTGGAAGCAAATCACCAGGCCATTTTACCAAGGTGCCTCTAGCAACCTTTTGGTGAGTAGTCTAACAAGTAAGCATTTTTACCACCTGGAGATACCTGAGTCCAGGAGTTATTGCTGCTTACATCAAAGATGTTGACACAAAGTCCAGTGTTCCCTTCCGCTCACCCTCCTGCTTTGATAGTACTCATTAAGTGATATTAGGTACATTATGTGAGTGGCAGAAGAAAGCAGATGACACAGAGGACTTGGCCACTCATCCACTGGGCAAGCAGCTTCAAAGGCAAATGAGCTGTGTCTGTGCTCAGTTTCCCTACCTCATCACCCAGCTGGCAGTGTCCCCAGGACTAGTCACCCCCTCCCACCCTGCGATCTACCAAGAGCCTCTTGGGACAAAAATGCCTGGACCAACATACTCTGGAAATTCTAATGTCAGTCAAGATTGATGTTGAAAAATCTGCTACTAAAGGAGTCTATGTATTTTGTTTTCACTTGTATGGCTTGTTTAAGAAGCAGTGATAATAAACAGATAATCTGTGACTACTGGACTTTCCTTTTTGTCCTGTTATTGACCAGCTACTCTTTTGTTTGTCCATTAACTCGAGCTTTCTGAGTGGCAGCTCTCTGAGGCAAGCAATGTGCAAGGTGTTGGGCTGGCTGACATGTGCCCAAGGAACACAGACATATAGCTTCCAAAACACACCAGTAAGGGAGGAGATAGGTGGCAGTGTGGAGATGGAGAGGTGTGAAAAGGATGCCTGTGGCCAGCAGAGGGCCACGGAAGGCCTCCTGAGGGAGCAGTGCCTTTCCTGGGATCTGGAGGGAGCCTTTGCTTGAACGTAGGTTGTAGTGGTGCTTCTCCAACTATATAAAGCACATGTGAACCACACTGGGAACTTATTTAAACACCAACTCTGACTCCTGGGTCTAGGGTGAGATTGAAGACCATTACTTTAATATGAACCCAGATGACACTGAGTTACAGCTTCAGTATTCTTCCACATCATTGTTGTGCATACAGAACCTCTGCCCCATAAATATTCCCCACCATATGCTCTGATTTTTCTGCCTTGCCCTGGCTGGGTACATCTCAGCTTGATGTCAGATGCTGCTGAAACTTGTTGTTGTTGTTTGATGCCATCGAGTCATAGACGACTCATAGTGACCCTATGAATGAAAGGCCTGAGCACTGTTCATAGAATTTCCAGAAGCAAGCCATTTCAGAAGTGGATGCCACTCCTGCTTCCAGGCTTGTTTTAATCAGGAAGCTCCACTGTCCACCATGGGTAACCATTATCACATTTGGCACATCAGTGTCACAGTGCTCAACATCACAGCAACCACGAGTTACCTCTGTATAGCAATGCACAGATCAGTGCTATACCACCTCCCTCCATTCTTTATTTCTAACTCCTTGAACATACAAGACACAAATTAGATCAGATTGTGAAAATGTCCCTCTGTCTAGAAGATTTCTGCAGGACACCGACACCTCCACCCGCGTGGCCAGGACTGCTGCGCTCAGCTGGTTCAGGTCCCCACTGCCGTAGTGCTGGTGTACTAACTGTCCATCTTGGGTGGCAGCGCCATGTACTAGTTTTCTTAAAAGGCAGAGAACCTCAGGATCCAGTCCTGAAGTCAGAGCTCTGTCCCTGTATTCTGTACTGATGATGCTCCCTAGAGTTGAACAGCATACTGTCCCAGGGTCCATCAGGAATACCAGCTCTCTGCACTACCAAACCCGACAGCCAGATTACTCCACTGAAGCTAACTGATTGTTTTACTGTTTGGGGTGGGGGTGGGAGTTCAGGAATGGAAACCCTCTCCATATGCCAAAAAACCTAAATGACTAAAAACAATTTCTCTGGGAATAATCACTGAAAAGTGGCCTTGTTGTTTTGAGCCCATCAAAAGAACTATGGCTAAGAAACAGCTTCATCAAAAATCATCTCCAAATGGAAAACAATTCTTATGCTTGGAGGTTAGCTTAGTTGTTGTTTGATACATAATGCTGGGAAAGGTAAGGCTGAAAAAAAATTGTATTATTCCCAGTAGTGGAATTTCTGGGTCAAATGGTATTTCTATTTCCAACTTTTTGAGAGAGCTTCATACTGCTTTCCATAGTGGTTGTACCATTTTACATTCCCACCAACAGTGAATAGGGGTTCCAGTTTCTCCACAACCTTGCCAGCATTTGTTGTTTGCTACTCTGTTGAATTTTGCTATTGTTACTGTGGAGAGATGATATGTCAGTTGTTTTGATTTGCATCTCTTAAAGCTAAGGATTTTGAACACTTCTTCATGTGTTTGTCTATCATCTGAATGTCTTCTTTGGCAAAGTGTCTGTTCATGTCCTGTGCCCGTTTTGCAATTGGGTTGTTTACCTTTATCTTGTTGTGGTGCTTGAGTATTCTATAAATTCTAGTTCTAAGTCCCTTACCATACATGTCATTAACAAATATTCTTTCTCAGTCTGTGGCTTTCCTTTGTACCCTGTTGGAGAAGTTTTTTGATGTGCATAGGCATTTGATTCTTAGAAGATCCAATTCACCTGTTCATGTTATGGATTAGGGCTTCTAGAAATCTTCCAAGCTTTTTTGTGATGAAGTTTATAGTCCTTGGTTTTAGTCCTAGGTCCTTGATCCACTTTGAGTTGGGTTTTGTGTATGGTGTGAGTCTTTCTTCGGTTTTCTGCAGATAGTTTTCCAATTTTGCCAATACCATTTCATGTTTATTACTGCATTATTCACCATAGCAAAGAGATGTAAACAACCCAAGTGCCCATTAACAAATGAATGGATAGAGAAGCTGTGGTATATTCGCACAATGGAATATTATGCAGCCCTGAAGAACAAGGAACTCATAAAATATACAAAATGGATGACCCTGGAGGAAATTATGCTGAGTGAAATATCTCAGTCACAAAAAGACAAAAACTGCATAATCCTACTGTTATAAAACAGGTCTGACATCGGGATTGGGGAGAAACTGAAAAAAGAGGGTATAAATAATGTACACTGTACTGAGACAGATGAGGGAAAGAACCGCTTAAAAGGAATATATGATTAGGTATTATTTTCATGACAACAGTCCAAAATAAGAGCTGCATTGTAAAGTAGACTGGGGTAGGGGTGTCGAATTGAACAACAATGAAAGAAATTTTTTTTTCAAAGACAAAAACAAATTGGGGGTGCAGGGAAGAAAATGTGCAACAATGAATGAATAGAAATCCAAGTTCTCTATAAACTTTCATTAAAATCTCATTTTAAAAAAAAGAATGATATAAATGAAAAAGCTCTGCTATCTGCAGCTATATGCCGTAAGAACTGCCAACCAAAATATCTTGTTGATTAAGGAAACCAAATTCTTATTC